TGATCAATCAAATGTTAAACCGTAAATGAAAGGATGACATGTAGATTATTTTTATTACATAGAATCTATGTGTTAACTACGTTATTTTTTTTTCTCTAAAGAGGAAAATTTTATAGCTTCATGTGCCATGTCGACACTACAATTGTTATTATTTGGTGTATTCTCCTACTGCTCAAGATACATATGAACTCTGTCATCGTCTCATATCACTCTATCAGGTTAGATTTTCCTAAAATCCCCTTAAAACCCATGAAAACCTAAATCCAAAACTCATGAAACCTTAAATCATTCTAATTAATAGGATGGTTTGAGGGGGCTGAGTAGGGGTAGTTACCCCTGAAAATATTAAATTATTATAAATTTTAGATTCTTTTATGTATTTTCTATTTAAAATTTGTTTTCTTCCTTAGTATTTTATAAGTTCTTCGCTCTTAAAATTTTAAAGTTCGCCCCATAACATAAAATCATTCATTTGTTCTTGCTAATCAATAATATCACCATTCTATTAACAAAAAATCATAAATCTCGCTTCCTCATCCTCCACCTCTTCAGTATTTAGATTTGGAATAAAATATTTTTTCATAAAAAAATCAAAAATATATAAAAACTAGACATTTTTCCACAAACAAAGAAGAAAATCTGGGACATTTTATAATTTTTAAAAGAAAATTGTTAAAGTATAACACTATTAAATATTAGACGATGGAATGATCAGATCAAAAACAAGTTAAAAATTTAATAAATAAATTTATAAATTTTAATTTTAATGATCAAAATAAAAATATCATAAAATTTTAAATTTATAGTTTCCTAAAAACAATATAAAATCTAATCTTTTGGCACGTCGAAGGATGGGAAATGATTATTAAATGTTGTGTTACTGCTGCATTCCATTGATGAGCACAAAAGCTAAGTTACACCTACTTTTCTTTGTTGACCAGAAACTTTGAGAAATTAAACTTTTTAGTTCCCATTTCACCCACCCATTTTAGCAATCAATTGCGCTGTTCTTCTCAGCTCCCACCTTTTAACACGTTTCACTCTTTCCGCCTTTAAATTTCCCCACACCTTTTACTAAGCCCTGCTGTGGACTGTTTCTCAAATTAATATTTGGAATTGTTATTACAAAGGCGTTATGTCAAAATTCGTGTCCAATATTATTAAAATAATAATTTTAACACCTTTTTTTTTATCATTTTGGTTTCTAATAACTCATTTTAAGGTAAAAACGTCGTTACGTGTTTGAAATTGTTAATTAATAAACAAACAACGCTTCAATCTGAAGGTCCAGTAGAAAATATCAACATAATAATAAATAAGTATCATCTTAATTAGTTACAGTAATGTTAAATGCAACCTTAAGAAAAAAATATAAATAAAATAAATAACCAAATGACTGAAAAATACTAAAATTAAAAAAAAAACGTGTCGTAGATGTAGAATTATTAAAAACTAAAGAAATAAAGAAAAACAAATATGCAATATGAGAAAATATATACATATATAAAAGTATTGACGATGATAACCAACACGAAGGTTAGTGTCGTTATTTATCATCTAAAGGAAACAAATAAAAACACGTTTAAAATCTTATTTGTCTTTAATTGTACTATTTAATCTTTAATAAAATGTGTTAATTAATACACTCTTCAATTAGAGTGATAAATACATTTTATAAGAACATGATAACTAATCAAATAATCAATATTACTTAAGTAATGTCTCGAGCTTGAGTTTTTGTGTATGTAAAAAATTCATGTCGGGAGACATGCTCCAAAACTAGATGTACCATGTAGGTCGATCTGAATTAGTAACACAAAACCTAACAAAAAAAATTAAACAAATATCCATAAATTGATTTAAAGAAAATAATGATAATAATTTTAAAACGGCTTGAGACGGGCAAGATTTGAGGGCTTATATCAAGCTTTGTACACTGTGTCAGCAGCACTCAATTCACCACCAAACCTTAGGTTTGATTCATCTCTATCCTTCTTTGTTATTTATAACCAAGTGGATTTGCATTCCACCAACTCCACATCTTCCAACCTTATCCAAATCTTAAACCCCAAATTTTCACATTATCTTTTTCCTATATTAATAAAATATTAAATACAAATAAAAAACTAACTCAATTGATAGTATTTGTTTTGGTAAATAGAGATGTATTATATTTTTAAGATAGATGCTGAAATATAAATACATATAAGATAAAATAATATGAGTATCGCTGATTATTTGATCAATTAATGAATCTCGTTTTCCTTTTTATTATTGATAAAATTCATACAATTTTTTATAAAATTATATTATCTCAAAGAAGTATGCTCTTCTTTATTACTGAAATTATTTATTCAGTTCAATTAAAATATATGTTTTTAAAGAGGTTCATTCATTAGCTGAGTGATAAATATTCTCATGTTATCCTATTTTGTGTGAATTTAAATTTCGATATATGTCTTAAAAATAAAATCCTTCCCTACTCGATTATATATATATATATATATATATATATTTAAAATATTTTAAACAATAAAAAACTAATAATTTAAAATATGGTATTATTTTTAAATTGAAATAAAAAATGCGCGTATAGGAGCATTTAACGTGATTTGCAAAACTCTTTGAGGATCAAGTTGTGGCTTCAACTTGTATTTATGTGGTAGAGCCAAATATGATAACAAATGTACCCCCCCAAAAAATCATAAACGGAAAACATTATTAAAATGCATGTGTTCATTATTCATAGCTAATCTTGCAAGTTAACTATTTCTTTTTATTTGTTTTGCAGTCTACTGTGGGAGTTGGTTTGACTTTGGTTTATTAATTAATTATATTTAGCCAATAGATTTTTCTATCAATATGATATGTAAAGGAATTGTTGTTATTGCTTGAGGACTCAGGTTCGAGTATCATAAATGCTAGGGGTGTAAACGTTCAATGTCAAAAGGTTGAGAGTTATCGTTGAACAAGTATCGTCTTGTACTTATCCCATATTAATAAAAAAACAAGTTTACGAAGCGGATTGATTCGGATTAGTAAAACCCTAAAACTAGGAGGGCAACAAAAAAAATGATTGAAAATAACAGTAGAAAATGAGAAAGTGTTCACTAAAAAAATAAAAAATAATTTTAATAATTTATTTTTACTCATTTAACCGTCTTAGATCCGTGGCACCACACGGATAAAGAATCTAAAGGCACTCTTCATAGTTGAGTCTAGGTTCATACCACACGGAGGCTTTAAAAGTTAAGTCTTTAACTTCAAAGCTTTCTTATAAGTAAACTACTGGTGATTAATATCAAACGTGAATTAATCATCATTCCCACCTTTTTAAGATTCATGTCTTCTTTTTAATGTTTATCTATTTATATTTATTGTTTATTATTGATTTGAATTTAGAGTTAAAATTAATGAATTTGTATACGTTTAATTTAAAGTTAGATTCATTAACAAATTTTATTTTAACTTAATTAAACTAAAATTCAATTAAGATGAAGGAAAAAATGCCTAGAACCATTACTATTTCACAAATTTAAGATTACAAATATTTAACTAAAAAAATACTATTTATTATCGAATTCATAATTTAAAATTAATCAAAATTACAAATATAATTGGATCATACCAATTATGACACCTAGTACTTGACAATTATATTGGTTAATTTATTAGAAAATTAAAGGAGACATAAGAACTGGATACCCTTATTTATTTCTTTGTATTACTCATTAAACTAAAGTTAATTCAGTATAAAAAATTATTTTATTGTTTACCTTAATCACAATTTATTATAAATCAATATCTTTGTAACTAAATTCAATTAATTTTTATTTTTTTTCTTTTTTAATAAAATCAGAAAATGAACCAAAAATATTGATTTCATACTTTTCTTTTTCCTTTTGTCATTTTGCTCAACTAAACCCATTGATTGTGTTAGGCCACTTTGACCAGCTTCGGCTTTCCCAATTTTCATAAGGTAAACTCTAATTCTCTACGTTATCAAAGGGATTTGGATCATTCACAACAACTATGTTATTCAATTGAGATTCTAACTATACTTTTAAATTTACTTATTTTGTCTGTTAATTACTTTATATACCATGTTCCAGTAATATTGTTATTTAATATATAAATTTGTGTGAAATTCTTAATCAAAAAAATTGTATAAAATTTTTTAGACAAACTATATAGGTGGTCGCTTTTGTTTTCAAACTGTTATTTTGGTCACTAGGTTTGGAAAAATTATGATTTGATTTTATCATATTTTGATCACTTATATGTTATCCCTAGTTAGTTTAATGACATGACAATTAAAATAGTTAATTTCATATTTAACCCTAAACTTTTAAAATCTATTTTTTCACAATCATAACAAAACCTAAAAACTCTCTTTCTACGGGAAAAAAAACTTCTCTTCTCCAACTCAAACGTAACCCTACTCCACCCTCTTGTAATCTTGTTCACCCTTTTATAAAAAACCTACAAACTTTCTCCCCCAATAATCTTCTCTAACCCTCAAATGATCAAAATCAGACGGATCACACAGAACAATAATCATTCATAGGGTAGAATTTATTTACACAATTTGTGCCTTTTAATAATAAATCCAAACATCTAAACTTTAACCCTAAAAATTAGATTCTAGACTACAAATATTAAATTACAAACTTAAACACTAAATTTTAAATCATAAAATTTTAATCCCTTTATCTATAAATTCTGATAAAAAATCATTAAAATAAACAAATTTATATATTTTACCCTAATTATATATCATATATATTTTTAAAAATAATTATTTTAGTTTGTAATATTACCGGGTATAATTACAACTCACAAGCAAACGTTAAACATGAAAGTGAAATATATTTAAGTTAAATTCCGTGGGTCCAAATCGAAGCAAGTTGTTTGCACTAAATATTTATCTTTGCCTTCTTCAACTCTCAATGACTATATACACACCGTCGTTTGGAATTTTGCTTTCATCTCGAAGAACGGTTAGATAAAAAGAAAAGCAAGCAAACGCGGATTCGATATAAAAAGTACAACAAGGAAGATGGGAAGATTAATTTGAAGTTGAGCTGCAAATCTTTTCTCTGATTCTTTTGTCTCCTTTTTTTAGAGGAAAAGAAGTTATGTCGCAGCGGAAAAGGCAAAGAACTTCTCGTAAATGCTCTGGGAAATCAGATCTATTTGATGGATTACCAGATGATCTTGTTATCTCCATCCTTTCAAAGTTAGCTTCTTCCGCCTCTTCTCCTCCTGATTTCATCAACATTCTCTTAACGTATGATTGAATTTTGTTTTCGTTTTTTATTTGAATTTTTTTAGTGTTTTTTTGGAGTAATAATAATGGAGATTTTGAATTTTTTATTTTGATAGATGCAAGAGATTAAACCATTTGGCTGTTCATCCTCTGGTTTTATCAAAAGTCTGTTGTAAAGTGTTTGCCGTTAAAGCTCGAAATTGGTGTGACTCGGTTCATCGTCTTCTCAAACAGTGCGTTAAAGCCGGCAACGTTGAAGCTTGCTATACTCTCGGCATGGTCGGTGCTTTCTGTGAATTTTTTTCTTATTTTGTATTTTTTAAAATAAAATTTATTAGGAATTAACATAATTTGCCGCCGTTACAGATCCAATTTTACTGCCTGCAAAACAGACGAGGTGGAGCGTCGTTAATGGCTAAAGCAGCAATCAAATCCCACGCGCCAGCTCTATACTCGCTTGCAGTCATACAATTTAACGGGAGCGGTGGTTCAAAAAATGAGAAGGACCTCCGGGCCGGAGTAGCCTTATGTGCGCGAGCATCTTTCCTCGGTCATGTGGACGCGCTGCGTGAACTCGGCCATTGCTTACAAGACGGTTACGGTGTGCGCCAACATGTAGCGGAAGGACGGCGGCTACTCATCCATGCCAACGCACGGGAACTCGCGTCATCGTTAAATGAATTAGTCCAACGAAAAACTCAGCAACAACACCATCGTCGTTTAAACTACCACTATTACAATTTTAAAACGGGTTCGAGTTGTCCGTTGTTAAGTGATTTCGGGTGTAATGTACCACCGGAGGTCCACCCAGTGAACTCGTTCTTAAAAGAATGGTTCAAGTTAGAGGTGGTCGAGTTAGCGCAAGGGCTAAGACTTTGTTCTCATGAAGGGTGCGGGAGACCGGAGACAAGGGCTCATGAGTTCAGGAGGTGCTCGGTTTGTGGCATGGTAAATTATTGTTCGCGTGGTTGCCAAGCACTCGATTGGAAGCTAAGACATAAGGTGGAATGTACACCGATCGAACGAATGTTGGAAGAAGGCATTGGTGGTGGCAGGGAAAGGGAGGAGGTTGCGGAAGCGGAAGAGTAAGTATATAATTATAAAGAGTAAAATCGTGAAATCGTAAATGCAAATTTATGGGTAAAAGAAATTCTTTTTTTCTTTTTGTTTAATGTTTGGAATGTTTTCATTTATGTACATAGAAGAAATGTTTCAACTTTTGAGATTTTAATTCTGTAGTTTTTAATGGAAAATGAAAAAGGAAATGTTGGGATTACATTTTTAATTATAATCAAGTTTATTTTTCAAAATAAATTACACTCGTATTCAATTGATTTTGAGATATTTTAATCTGATTATTAATATTTTAATTTTACTAATTAAATTATTTAACTATTTAAATAACATCAACTAAATCATCATTTGACAAGAGCATTGAAAAATAAATAGATAATTATATAAAAATTTATTAACTTCAAGAAATATCTCATGTAAACTGTCACGGGTTAGATTACTATTAGCAAGCTCGTGCGGACTTAATTGCTTTCAAGATAAAAAAAACAGCTACGTAACCAAACACAAAGCCAAGAGAACTTAAATGTGAAGAAAAAAAACTAAGCAAAAACAAAGAGAGGGACTCTCAAAAGGATAAAAGAGAAAGTATGAGTTAAAACTAACTTGTATTCCTCAAATGATATGTGAAAATTAGGCGGGATGAGCGTCCTTTTATAGTTGAAATCCCTTACCTCAACGGTTACATATAGATTATATCAATGGTTAAGACGAGTCTATCTTTTCTATAAAACTAAATTCTCTCATGATCTAGAATTCAAACAATGATAATTGTGGGATTTATTTATAAGATAATTAAGAATAATAATTATGTTTTTATCGTTTTATCTAAGATGAACAAGCCGGCTCCCTAGATATTCTGGAATGTCTGAAAGTTCCAAAATGTGGCAAAGATAGTATGTGGTTGATCTCTTACCTCAACGGTTACATATAGATTATATCAATGGTTAAGATGAGTCATCTTATCTATAAAACTAAATTCTCTCATGATCTAGAATTCAAACAAGGATAATTGTGGGATTTATTTATAAGATAATTAAGAATAATAATTATGTTTTTATCGTTTTATCTAAGATGAACAGGCCAACTCCCTAGATCTTCTGGAATGTCTGAAAGTTCCAAAATGTGGCAAAGATAGTCTTAGGCAACCTCAGCCTTGATCACATTTGGCTCGATCATGGACCAATAGTTCGTGACACAACCAATAGATTATTTGAATTCAATATGCACTACTAAAAAAAAGAATTCAATTGGCATGATAGCTCAAGTTAATAATTATCAAGCCTAATTCGAGTTTCTTTCAAACCAAATCCAAATCACATGCTATACATATTTGGTCACGCACAAAGGGCTGCTTATGCTGGCACAGCAGTTATGTATGATATAATCTCCTCCTCGACATTTTCCTAGGCAAAAAAAGAGAGCAATGTGGCTACAACATAAGAACTACCCTTGGCCAAGCCAAGTGAAATTACATACCCACCAATTTACGCCAAAAACACCAATCTCATGCTACCATGCATGCGATTCATCTTCATTGTACTCGGCAAAGGGCTTAAAATTAGCAGCACGCACGGAACACAAATATTGAACCTTGAATAATTGTATTAGGTATAGTCAACCAACCATTTCTATGTCACTTGGTATCTTTTCTTGATCATCTGGGGAGTTAATAGATGCTAGTAAATCATCTATCTTTAGAGGAGAATGCCGAACCATGAACTGGAATATAACCTGCATAGCGGATTCGAGAATATTTATAATTTGAAGAAGCATTAGAAGATCTACATGCAATAATTTCGACAGGCTGATTACAGAATGAGAAGCAGTGATCACTTAAAGCGAAAAACACAGAAAGGCAAGCATGGACGACATGTCATCGTGTCTACTGAGAATCAACAGATCTTCGAATCAAGGCAGCCAAAAAGAAAGAAAATAAGGTAATAAACAGACAATTTGGTTGGGGATACTGTCTGAGCAAGGAAGCAACTGATGCAATGGTAAGTGCATCTATAGCCCCTCTACAAAGATTTGAATTGAATTCCCTGATTTCCCCAATCAAAATGAGATTGTAAATATGACAGTGACGGTGCAAACACCGAATGATCATAATAATTATTGTGGAACCAATTTTATTAAAAAAGTTTTTACAGCGGACAAGGGATTTTAAGAACTATCCTGATAAGAACTACTCCAAACCTTTGTCAGAAAGAGAGACAGTACGCAAAATGTCTCAAACATTAGCTAAATATGGCATTTACGTTTTCACCAAATGATTTGGGGATCGATTTTAATTTCAATAATAGAGCTATAAATCATATCATGCATTCTTTCTACCAACCTTTGAGTAGCTATCTGCAAAAGTACGTGCTCGGTTGGACTTGCCAAGATAAATCAAATCAGCCTTCTCCAGCTTCCCATCCACAAAACTCAATCCTCCATCACCAATAGCAAATCTTAAAAGGTTCCCTGATTGTACCCCTGACTGTGCATTTTGGAAGAGAGAAATATTAAACGTTAGCCACATGGACTGTTAAAAGCAAGGAAGGAGAGGAAGGATGCTTAAAGTTCTACAATTTGTTTTCCTTTCTAGCTTGTATTTCAGGAAATCAGGCTCATGAGCCTGCCATTTAACTCAAGTAGTAGACAGCCTTCATAGTGGAAGGAAACATGTCGGCATTATGGAACGTCAACAAGATGAAAACGTGGGTACTAAGCTCATTTGCATCAATTAGACAACATTTGTAACTATCACCATCTCAAAGGGGCTGCCAACTGAGACAACTAGAAGCTTGTTAGCTCGAGTCAGGATTTAAATCTTGGGAGGCGAGCGGGGGATTACAGGATGATAAAGAGCTACCGTATTTTAACAAGCTCACATCCCAATTACCTATTTGACTAGCTCACATCCCAATGACCGCACAACTTATCAAATTGAAGCAACAACTAACCGCACTGATATATCATAGAGTTTGACAAACAAAATAACAATCACCAATTATTGACGAACAAATCATTGTCATTAGTTGGAAACAATAATCGCATTATGCATTTGGCTCAGTATGGGTATTTACTACCATACCTTTTCTATGAAATCCCCATCTAAGCAGCCAAACAGCACTGGAGGGTCATCTGATGTTACCAGTTTTCTATCATCTTGTAGCTCCAAAACTACCTGACAACAGAGGAAATAACAATTGATTATACGTTACTTCATATATATAGGTTTAATAAAAATGAGATGCTATTTGTTTATTATTCGTCTTAAACCCAATTATCATATTTTTCTCTTTAAGGTATCCTCTCCAATTTAGTCCAAGAGCGCGACGCAAATGTTATTACGTGTTTTAGTGAGCTTTGTTTTTGAATTCCATAGCTAAATGTTATTATACAAAGTGTAATGGTCTGAACCAAGCCATCGGACAGAAACACGATTTTCCCTGTTATCAGCATGCACGGATTGATGATCATAAGATCAACCTATCTATGTTAAAATTGCAGCTTATAGACTACAACTCGCACAAATTAATGACACTAATTGTTGCTCTTCGGTATGGCAGTAAGAAAGAAGCACACCCTAATTTGTTTGAAGGGTTCATGAAGAAGAGGCAAGGGCATAGGAAGCATAGATGAATAATGGATAATATATCAAGATGCCTGTTGTTGGCTTGGAATCTCTCCTTTACCATCTGTGTCAATAGCATATTGACTACAATTCTCATCTTTCCAGACCAATACTAGTGTGTTTCCAGTTTGATAGTGTGCATGCCTGTGAATGAATTAAAATAAAACTCACTGGTTAAAATACATAAACAGCAGAGACAAAATATGCTATGCAGATATGTTGAGAGGTCCTAACAATAACAAAGAATTTAATAACAGGAAAAATAAGAAAAGAAGCAACGAATGTCCATCTTCAAGGGGATGGAAAAAGAAAAAGCTTCATCTATGATATCCGAAGACATCTTTAAATAATATAAGCAACTTTACCTAGTAAATAGGAGCAGCATCTTACTTAACAAGGGAGAAAGTCCAATTTTACTGGACAAAACCATTAAAGTAGGATAAAGACTTTACTCTACTCCTGAACTCTCATCTAATTATTTAACCAGCAGTCAGAAAGTGATAGATAGACAAGCTTTGGATTGCCAATGGAAAATAGCTTCTGAACATTAATAATAGAAAATAACAAAGTACCCAGAGTTTACACCATATATCATATTGTAGAATTATACCTATTTCTTAAATCACAAGAGAATTAAAATGAAAGCAATGCCCGTCATCCATGCACAAAAAAGCAAAGACATGACACTTACTACAGAGTAAATCTGATTCAAGAAAAACCTATTAAACTTAAGGCAATGGAAAAATGATAATGAAAACAGAGTAATATTCTTTAGGAAAAGAACTCACTTGTTATAAAATAGTAATCCATCCTTAACATAAGGCACGGCTCCAGTGTATGCTGCATATAGCCCACTCTGATCACAGTTATACACTGAAACAGCACTGAATCTAAATTTATGATAATGCGAAGGCGCATTGCAAGCACAGCTCTCTTCAAGCTTCGAGTTCAACCAATAGAATCTAAACTCAACAGTGCAATCATAGAGAGAGTATCCATTCCAACAAACCGTATCAATCACATAGTAAGTCTGATCCGACTGCAAAAAAAATTACCCTTCAACAGAATCAAAACCTAACAATGTACCAGCAATAACATGATTTTGATCTTCTATGTTTCGGGATTTTTATACCTCGTGGAAAATAAAATCCAGGATACAGTATGATTGAGCTGAGCCCGAGCCATTTCTGGTCTTGGCTCCAGCTGGTAAAGCCGACGGGAAATAATGCAAAATGGAGCCGTTCAGTTGTCTGCTGACAGTCGTTCCGTTTGATGAAACCACGAAACATCTCTTTCCAGCTGGCCTTGCAAGTACATACAAGATATTAAAATCGGAACTTTACTTCAGAAGCAAATTACAATGGTTCACAAATCCCTAATTAATACAACGAACGAATAGAAATATTTTTTAAAAAAATCCCTAATTACCAGTCTTGGCTCAAGCGATCAGGGACGTCGATCATCCACTCAGGGAGTATAAGCTGTCTCGCGAACCATTTTCGAACCTCCGGTCCTCGAAGTGTAGAAGCTCGACGGACATCAAGGTCTTTCGACAAATTTTCTGATTCATATTCGGTTTCGGGTACGGTTTCGATTTCGATGTCGGACTGCTCGGGTTCGGATTCGGGTGCTGAAGACTGGAGCGAGAGAATAGATGAGGCCAAGCAGCGAGCTTGATGTTGAGCGTTGCAACGATTCTGCGCTTGACGGAGCAGCGAGAGCTCTCTACGCTTCTGCTGGTCGGATATCACTGCTCGCTTGAACGGACGGCGAACGGGCGGAACGGTGCCCTTCCCTATACCCGTACCCACGTAATATTTTGGAAGATCACTTGCCTATCACTGGAAGAATAAATTTTTTAAATTTAAGTTCCTTATTTTGACAAAATCAAATAACATATTTTTACATTATATGTTAAGTGTTATAATTTTTATTTTATTAACTTATACTAATATAAATATGTATTATATGTTTTTGTCAAAATATAAAGGAAATGAATTTTTAAATAAAAAACATATTTTTATAAAGTATCACGTGTCATTTTGTCAATGGTCATAAGGTTTCATATCACTTTTCGTGAAGGAAGTTGGTAAACCCTTTAACGACATAAAATACTATGTATAAAATCGAGAATTTTAAAACATTATGTTATGAAATTGAGAATTTGATATACTTCATGTATGAATTAGGTAATTAATCTAATTTATAATGGTTTAAAATTTATACGATGTATAATTAGTGGGCGGGTAAATACAGGGTGAGTAGATATGAGGCGAGCGTATGTGGGGCGAATAAGGTCTCAAACTCATCACCTACTCATCACCCACGGTAAATATTACTTTTTACATCCATACCCACCTATTATCCACTAAATTTATATCTATCTCTATCCCAATTAAAACAAATATAATACAAAATCCACAAAACTATACCCATAGTTATCCTTAATTTAAACCTTTCACGATGTTCTCCCTTGTCTCATCTCAAAACGGTTTTGAATGCAGGTTTATCATGTTATAGTTTCGATAACAACAAAAAATAAGTTAAATTATTTATTTAGTAACCACACATTACTTTATTTTTATTTTATTTATTTAATTATTATTATTTTTAAATTATATTTATTTCTATTTTGATTATTCATCATAAAAACCAATAATATTAACATAATAATTTTTTATTTCCACGTCATTAACAAATCTCAATTTTTAGATCTTTATTTTAACTAAAAATATTTATATATTTATTTTGATTAAAATAATAATTTTATATATATCATTCGATAAAAAACATTTTAGTTATTTAAATGAAAATAATATAATTTAGATACTTAATTGTAATATATATTTTTTGATTTACATGAAGAAAAACACTTTAAATATCCATTGCTGCTTGAGCATCCATAAGCAAATGGTCCAACACTTCCGCTGGTGCCTCCGGCAATGATCAAGAATCCAGCGCTCCGTTCCAAGCTAGGCGTGCTAAGCCATCCGCCACTCGATTTCACTCCCTAGGGAAAAAAATCGTAGCTGCCAATCCCGCTGAGTTAATTCCTGAAAATGAGGGACCATCGAAGAAATACCATCAATTTTGGGTTGTCCTTGAAGAACGACAATTGCCTCCTTGCTATCCGATTCAACAATAATGCTCCGATGATTCATATTCCAGGTCAATAGCAGATCCTTATAGAGGCCCCACAACTCCGCATCAATGACTGAGCAATAACCAAGGATTTGACCAAACCCCGCAATCCATTCAGCGTGTTCATCTCGAAGCACTCCATATGTAGAGAGTCCTGACGAAGGATTACGCGCACTATTCGTGTTCAGTTTAATCCAACCACCCAGAGGCTTCGACCACACAACATCTCGATTCACAACATGTCTCTGAGGAATAATGTTGCGCACCTTCTGTCGATACGCATCGTGAGTCGACGACTTTGTTGGACAACATTCTCTCCCATTATGATTTCCGGGTCAAATATGATCTTGTTCCTACATTGCCATATACTCCAAAGCATCGATCCAAACATGATGTCTCAATCCTCCTCCACAATAGGATACCGATTTGGATTCCGGAGGTTTACCTCTAACCATGCCACCATACCCAAACTCAAAACTCCTGTAACAAACTTGGTTTTATTAGTGACTCCCAAGCCATTTTTACCAACTGGTAGTCCCGAAAAATATGTTCCACATTTTCAACGGCATTGCCGCATATATGACAGCTGTAATCTAAAGCCAAATGACGTCTTACCCTCTTTGCATTCGACAACACTCGGCCATGGCAAAGCTTCCATAACAGCGCCTTCACTCTCGGCAGTCCACGAGACCCTTTTAAAACATTCCATGGACGAACCTGCTCCCTAACAATCAGCTCCGAACGCTTCTCGTACGCTCTAGAAATAGTGAAGACCCTCTTCTGCGAATCCTTCCAACCTATAATATCAGCTCCTCTTTCAACTAAAGGAAGACGCACAACAGTTAACGTGTGTTGAACAATGACAGAAATATTCCCGGAGATAATCCCAATATCACTCTCCAGTTTCGTTAGTCAAGAGTGTTGATCATTTGCCTACTGGTAGCTCCTGTTGAGAGGAAAAATACTAGATTAAAGGTCCCAAATTGCCAAGCCATGTATCATACCAAAAATCAATTCGAGTCCTATCTCTTAGAGTCCAGACAATATTATCTCGAATGTCCTTCCAGACCATTGAAATGCCCTTCCATGTCATCAAACAGACACTCCAGTTCACATACTCATACATCCACTCACTCATCTTATACTTTGATCTTAAAACCCGGACCCATAGTTGATCCGTGTTTTGAATAAAAAAGAATGCCAGCTTCATAAAAAACGCTTCATTCTATATATGGAACTTCTTCATACCAACGCCTCCCAGTTCCTTCGGTTTGCAAGTATCTTCCTACTTAACCAAATGAATAGACCGATTCTCACTTGTTCCTCCCCAAATAAAGTTCCTAATTAGCCTCTCAATATCATCATATATATTTTTTGGGAGATAACTCGTCTGCATAGCATATAACAGGATGACAGCCAACACCGCCTTAGCTAGAATAACCTATCCAGTGAATGATAAATGGTGTGTCTTCCATCCTGCTAGTCGATCCTGAACTTTTTTAATCAAGTACCCGTAAGTTGCAATATTTACTTTTGAATTAAGGAGTGGTACCCCGAGGTATATCCCTAAATCCTCCACTAGAGTAAACTGAAATCCCGAGCTTAACTCATTCTTACACTATTCTGACACATTTTTAGAAAAATAAATGTTTGTCTTTGTTAAACTTGTTGAAAAGTCTTGGCAAGCACCTAAAGGTGCTAATAAAAAAATTCCACCGAAAAAATTTGTCAAAAAGGTTGGGTTTTTGTTGAATTTTGGATAATGGTAAAATCATAATTTTAGCCATTGTAATTTAGGGTATTTACAAATTAGTCTTTAGAGCTTCAACTATAAATACTCTAGTTCATTTAGCTTCAAAACCATCCCAAAGCATTCTAGCTTTCTTCCAATACTAGGGAGAATATTAGAGAGTTTATTGAGAGTTGTTTTCTCCTTTTTATCAAGAGAGAATTATCATTGTTTTCTCCTTGGTCGATCGAGAGAAGTTGTAATTCCTATTTTCTCATAGTGAAATTCTTCTACCGTTGCCCGTGGTTTTTACCCTATATTATTTAGGGTTTTCCACGTAAATTTTGTGTCTTCTTTATCTTCATTTTTATTTTCTCAAATTATCAGTTGCGATTTTGCTCTATCCGATAGCCGTCTTCCGCAACAATTGGTATCCGAGCTAGATTAGAGTGTGTAATATCTGCTTATTGTCTTCGTGGTTGCTACCAAAAGGTGGATCCTCCAACATAAGAAAGTAAGAAGGTATTACCCATTCTTTGAAGGTTCCAGAGAACTATTCACGATAGTGAATTAGTGGGAGCTATCCGAAATAGAAGCTATGGCAACGAAATTTGATATTGAAAAAAATTTAATGAGAGAAATTTCTCATTGTGGAAATTGAAGATGAAGGCCATCCTGAGGAAAGACGGATGTCTAGCAGCTATCAGTGAAAGACCGGTAGATTTTACAGATGACAACAAATAGATCTAAATGGACGGGAATGCTATGGCAAACTTTCATCTAGCATTAGCAGATGAAGTATTGTCAAGCATCGAGGAAAAGAAGACAGCAAAGGAGATATGGGATCATCTCACCAAATTGTACGAGGCCACATCGTTGCACAATAAAATTTTCATTAAGAGGAAATTGTACACTCTCCGTATGCCAGAATCTACTTCAGTGACGGAGCACTTAAACACACTGAACACATTATTTTCTCAGCTTACATCCTTAAGATGTACAATAGGAGAACAAGAACGTGCTGAACTTCTACTTCAAAGTCTACCTGATTCGTATGATCAACTCATCATCAACTTGACAAACAGTAATGTCACCAGTCTAGTCTTCGATGACGTTGCAGCTGCTGTTCTCCAAGAAGAAAATCGACGCAAGAACAAGGAAGACAAACAAGTAAATCTGCAACAAGCAAAAGCATTGACAACGATGAGAGGGAGATCAACAGAATGTGGCCAAAGCAGCAGTCACAAACATGGTAGATCGAAGTCGAGGAGCAAGAAGAATTTAAAGTGCTAAAACTGTGGAAAGAAGGGTCACTTGAAGAAAGATTGTTGGAATCTAAATAAAAACTCCAATCCACAAGGTAATACCACAAACACTTCAGATGATGGAGATGCTCTATGCTGTGAAGCGTCAACCACCGTGGAAGAAAGAAAAATATTTGCAGATATATGACTCATTGATTCAGGAGCAACATATCACATGACCTCAAGAAGAGAATGGTTTCGTCAATATGAACCTGTCTTAGGAGGATCTGTGTATAGTTGCAATGATCATGCCTTAGAGATCGTTGGCGTGAGGACCATCAAATTGAAGATGTATGATGGAACAATTAAAATTGTTCGAGATGCGAGACACGTGAAAGACCTGAAGAAAAATTTATTATCCTACGGATTGTTGGATAATAATGCAAGCAAGATTGAAACACAGAAAGGAATCATGAAGGTGTTTCGTGGAGCGCTTGTGGTGCTGAAAGGCGAAAAGATAGCTGCAAACTTATACATGCTGAAGGGAGAAACTTTGCTAGAAGCAGAAGCCTCTGTTGCCTCATGTAGTTCAGATTCTGCAATGCTATGGCATCAGAAACTTGGACACATGTCAGAACAAGGAATGAAAGTCCTTGTGGAGCAAAAGCTACTTCCAGGCTTAACAAAGGTATCACTTACTTTATGTGAGAATTGCATAACAAGTAAGCAGCACCGGTTGAAATTCAACACATCAAATTCTAGAGGCAAAAGTGTTCTAGAACTGGTTCACTCTGACGTATGGCAAGCACCAGTTGCATCCCTAGGCGGAGCAAAATATTTTGTCTCATTTATTGATGACTACTCCAGGAGATGTTGGGTGTACCCTATTAAGAAGAAGTCCGATGTGTTTTCAACTTTCAAAAACTTCAAAGCGCGGGTGGAACTTGATTATGGAAATAAAATCAAGTGTTTCAGAACAGATAATGGAGGAGAATACACAAGTGAAGAATTTGATGACTTTTGCAGGAAAGAAGGCATCAAAAGACAGTTCACAGTGGCGAACACTCCTCAACAAAATGGAGTGGCAGAGCGGATGAACAAAACCTTGTTAGAAAGAACAAGAGCAATGTTGAGGGATGCAGGCCTAGAAAAATCATTCTGGGCAGAAGCAGTCAATACCGCCTGTTATTTGGTGAATCGAGCTCCATCAACTGTAATATAGCTGAAGACACCAATGGAGATGTGGACTGGTAAACCAGCTGATTATTCAAACCTCCATGTATTTGGAAGTATAGTGTACGTGATGTACAACTCCCAAGAAATTTCAAAGTTGGATCCAAAATCCAGAAAATGCAAATTCTTGGGGTATACTGATGGAGTTAAGGGGTATCGCTTGTGAGATCCCACTGCCCGCAAAGTGATCATTAGTAGAGATGTTATCTTTGTAGAAGATAAGCTACAAAGAAAAGAAGAAGATGGTAGCGCTGAAAAGTCAGAGACTATGCAGATACATGTGGAAAAAGAGTTTGAACAAGGAGATTCTTCTGAATCAGAACCAACACATGATGAACAAGAACCAGAGAGTTCTGAAGCTCCAACAACTCGTCAATCAGATCGTGTGAGAAGACGTCCCAATTGGCAGTCAGATTATGTTATAGAAGGTAATATTGCATACTGCCTTTTAACAGAGGACGGTGAGCCATCAACATACCAGGAGGCAATAAACAACTCAGATGCTTCACTGTGGATGATGGCGATGCAAGAAGAAATTGAAGCCCTTTATAAGAATAATACATGGGACCTTGTGCCACTACCACAAGGAAGGAAGGCAATTGTTAACAAATGGGTCTTCAAAATCAAGCGAAATGGTGTCGATCAAGTAGAGAGGTATCGTGCAAGACTGGTGGTCAAAGGATATGCTCAAAAAGAAGGTATTGATTTCAATGAAATATTTTCTCCTGTGGTTCGACTAACAACAGTTCGAGTAGTTTTGGCAATGTGTGCTACATTGAACTTACATCTAGAGCAACTAGATGTTAAAACAGCTTTTCTTCATGGAAATCTTGAAGAAGAGATTTACATGCTCCAGCCTGAAAGTTTTGAAGAAAAAGAAAAGAAGAACTTGGTTTGCAAGTTGAACAAATCTATGTACGGTCTAAAGCAGGTGCCGAGGTGTTGGTATAAGTGATTTGATTCCTTCATTATGTGCCTTGGATACAACAGACTTAACGCAGACCATTGTGCTTATTTCAACAGGTCTGGTGATAACGATTTTGTTATATTGCTGTTGTATGTAGATGACATGTTGGTTGCAGGACCCAACAAAGATCATATTGAAGAATTGAAGGCACAACTGGCTAGGGAATTTGAAATGAAGGACTTGGGATCAGCAAACAAGATTCTAGGGATGCAAATTCACCGAGACAGAAGTAATAGGAAGATTTGGCTTTCACAAAAGAATTACTTGAAGAAGATCTTGTCACGATTCAACATGCAAGATTGTAAGCCAATTTCTACCCATCTTCCTATTAACTTAAATTTATCCTCCAGTATGAGTCCTAGCAGTGAAGAAGAGAGGATGGAGATGTCTCGAGTACCGTATGCATCAGTAGTGGGAAGTTTAATGTTCGCTATGATATGCACAAGACCAGACATTGCACAAGCAGTGGGAGTGGTTAGTCGGTACATGGCGAATCCAGGCATAGAGCATTGGAATACAATAAAGAGGATCCTGAGATACATCAAAGGGACCTCAAATGTTGCATTATGTTACGGAGGATCAAATTTACTAATAAATGGGTATGTTGATTCTGACTATGCAGGGGATTTGGATAAAAGCAAATCTACTACAAGATATGTGTTCAAAGTTGCTAGTGGAGCTGTAAGCTGGGTTTCTAAGTTGCAATCAGTTGTGGCTACATCCACAACAGAGGCAGAATATGTAGCAGCTACACAAGCCAGTAAAGAAGCAATTTGGTTGAAGATGCTGTTGGAGGAGCTTGGGTATAATCAAGAGTATGTCTCTCTATTTTGTGATAGTCAAAGTGCCTTGTATCTAGCAAGGAATCCAGCATTTTATTCAAGGACAAAACACATACGAGTTTAGTACCACTTCATTCGTGAAAAAGTGGAAGAAGGAACGGTAGACATACAGAAGATCCATACCAAAGACAACATAGCAGATTTCATGACGAAGGCAATCAATGCTGATAAATTTACCTGGTGTCGATCCTCTTGTGGCCTGTCAGAAACGTAAGCAACATGAAGGTACAAGGTAGAAAGAATGGTGTGAAGATATGATTGTTCCAATCAAATCTTCAAGTGGGAGATTGTTGAAAAGTCTTGACAAGCACCGAAAGGTGCTAATAAAAAAATTCCACCGAAAAAATTTGTCAAAAAGGTTGGGTTTTTGTTTAATTTTGGATAATGGTAAAATCATAATTTTAGCCATTGTAATTTAGGGTATTTACAAATTAGTCCTTAGAGCTTCAACTATAAATACCCTAGCTCATTTAGCTTCAAAACCATCCCAAAGCATTCTAGCTTTCTTCCAATACTAGAGAGAATATTAGAGAGTTTCTTGAGAGCTGTTTTCTCCTTTTTATCAAGAGAGAATTATCATTGTTTTCTCCTTGGTCGATCGAGAGAAGTTGTAATTCCTATTTTCTCATAGTGAAATTCTTCTACCGTTGCCCGTGGTTTTTACCCTATATTATTTAGGGTTTTCCACGTAAATTTTGTGTCTTCTTTATCTTCATTTTTATTTTCTCAAATTATCAGTTACGATTTTGCTCTATCCGATAACCGTCTTCCGCATCAAACTGACCTTGTGACCGAAGCAGAGCAAAAGTCCTGGAGAATGGTTTTTATGACATCAACATGAGTGTGAGTGGCATCTGTAAAAAGAACTAGATCGTCTGCGAAAAAAGATGAGATAATGCAGGACCACATCACGATAAAAGTATTGGTTTCCAAACACCATCATTTACAGCCTTCTGAATTAACTGCACCAATCGCTCCATACATAACAAAAAAATGTATGGGGATAGTGTATCCCCTTGTCGGATTCCTCTTGTTGGCTTGAAACTATCAATTTTCCTATCATTCTACAAAACCTGATTAGTCGCAGATGTAATACAGTTTATGATGAGTCGTCGCAATCCCTCGGGAATACCCAAATCCATCATAGTATCCTCAATGAAATGTCATTTCAGTCTATTATATGCTTCTTCTAAATCAATTTAATCGTCATCCATCCTTTCTTCCCCTGCTTTTGCTTCATCGAATTGATTACCTCATGAGAAATAACTATGTTGGTTGTAATGCTTTGATCCGGGACAAAACTCGTATAATTTTCCATTACCCATCTAGGTAGGAGGGACTTAAGTCTATTGACAACTATCCTTGTTATCGCCTTAAAAATCACAGTGCATAAACTAATTGGGTTGAATTGGGAAAAGTTTTCCAGACTCGTTACCTTTGTAATAATAATCAAAAGAGTCCGATTAATGTCAGCTGGTACTTCACCCTTGCGGAAACATTCATACACAAAACAACACACGTTTGGTCCATTGATCTCCCAATTCTTCCAATAGAAAGTCGCATGAAACCCATCAATATCTGGAGCTTTATGTTGGGATCGAAGAGACTCAATTGAACAACTGAAAAAGTTGAAAGGGGGAAATTGGCAATAAAATGTTTAGGGAGTAAGGAGAGCAAAAGATAGAGAAAATTTGGCACAATGATTTATAGTAGTTCGACTTATCAACCAAGTCTACCTCCATTACCTTAGCTCCTCGTTAAGGATTTTCTAACAATTCACTAATAGTTCTTTTTTTTCAAGGACAAAGAGATAACATTTACAAACTCCCTATCTTTTTACTTGGCTAAGATAGAAGCAAAACCCCTTTACAAAAGGGTAAAAGAAGTAAACAAAGAAACCTCTATAAGGTAGGTGTTTACAAATTTAGCTCACTAAAACACAAATATTTACAAGAGAATTGAAATAAAGAGTTAAAAGCTATTCTCTTGTGTATGGTTGCTTGGATAGGTATTCTAACCACTCTTCAAGTGTCTTGAACTTGTATTTGTTGTTGTGGCCGTTTCTGGCCGTTAGAAGCGTTTTGGAGCCATTGAGGATCAATTTTCGTGCAAAATAAAACTGTCCAGAACAGAGAGTATCGGTACTCCTAAAGGGAGTATCAGTACTACCTTTGTTTATATTTAAATCAACTAGCCGTTACTAGCCGTTGGGGCCTGATGGTATCGATACTACTATGCAAAGTAGTATCGATACCCCTTTGGGTATCGGTATATTTTTGCATTTTAGAATTTGAGCAATACTGGTAGTATCGATATTATCATGTGGGTACTATATGAACAGTATCAGTACTGTTCATGAGGTATCGATACTGTAAGAACAGTATCGGTACTTCTTGTCCAGAAAATTATTTTGTGTTTAAATCCACTATTAAGGACTTTGAATTATTTTTGAAAACTTTGAATAAATTCAATTGAAGTCCAAAAACATTTTACCTTAAATGTTATATCAAAATATAGTTCAACATTTTATCCGAGTGTATCTCCATAAAAGCTTGCTTTATCTCATCATCTCTGATATCTTTAGCCAATTCACTGAGTGTGTCATGAGAGAAACGGAAGAAAACATTCCTCATGTGATATACTTGTCTCATCTCCCCACTTGACGTAAATAAGTTCCGAAAGAAAGTAACGACCTCACTTCTTTATTGGTTTTGATACTGGCACCACCTCTCATCACCTAGTTTTATAGAGAATATGGAATTTTGCCTTCTACGAGCTTTGGCGCACGTATGATAAAATCAAGTATTCATATCCACATCGTTGATCCAATCACAACGCGCCTTTTGCCTCCATACGCTCTCCTAATCCTCCAAAACTGATTCAAGATCTTTACGGAGTTCATATTCAAGAATTTTTAAGTAGCTTGAATCTCTTTCCAGTAGGACCTTATCTATTCCCCGTAAATGAGCCATGATACGTTTTTCCTTCAAACTAATACTGCCAAATACCCTGATATTCCACTCCTTTAGCATTACTTATAGATTTGTTAAATTATGCCTAACATCTAAATCTCTCGCCTAACTGGAGCTTAATAGCCCCTTGAAATCATTGTGATTTTGTCATGCAAGAATAAAACGAAATGTAAGTGTTTCACAATTAGCACTTACCTGATAAGGTCTCAATAAAATCGGTCGGTGGTCCGATCCAGCTTATCGAGATGAAGAACAATGGAGTCTGGATAACATCGTATCCATTCCTCATTAGCCAAGAAACGATCGAGCCTCTGATGAAGGGATCCCATCGACCACGTGAATCGCGGACCATGAAACCCTAAATCCCTCAAACCATTATCAAATACAAAATTAGTAAACATCCTACTAGGCACAATCCTTCGAAAGACTCCTCCCCGTCTCTCATCAATGCTAAGGAGAACATTAAAATCACCATCATTATCCACAGAGAATTTAGCCCCGTATCCAAATCGCTAAGACTCTCCCACACATTATTACAAATCGAAACCATTGGGCTAGCATACACCACTGTGAAAATCATCGGATGCCTAAGACAACCATCCTCCACTAAAACATGAACAAACTAATTTGCTACACGGATAGCCTCCACTTTCACCGTGTCCCTCCAAAGCAGCTATATACCCTCACTGAAACCATGCGCCTCCATCCTAAATGAGTTAAAAGATCCCAATGACTGAATAACTTCATTCTCGCGGGGACCACTTATCCGCAGCTCAAGTAGCGCTACTACGGAATGATTATAGTTGACCATACACTGACAAAAATGATGAAGAAAACTAGGGCTTGCAACACCCTGACAATTCCAAACCATAAACTCAAACATGATAGAGAAAACAATCAAGGGTGTACTACATCATTCTCCCTCGGCATCGGATCTATCCGATCCCTTGGCACGTTATCAAGGGTCCTTTCCACTTCACTAATTGTGTCCTCCACTCTTGTTTCTGACTATCCATTCCCCAAGCTATCTATTCGAGCAGGCACAAATTGTACCCACTCGACATGAATAGGCTAATTAGGAGCCTTGTAAATCAAATTCCGCTTCATACTACGACCCTTGTTGTCTGCTTATGTCATTTTGCTATTCGCCCCGCCTTTATGGATGTAACCCTCTCCCTTATCCCTATTTTTTCTCTCTCAATTACACTATCATTTATTTTCATTGTTGCATGGTTACCACCTTATATATTTGGGAACACTACGGAAACACTCACATCATTTCCCACCAGCTTTGGCGCCACACTCATTTGTCATGTCTGATCTGCTGGAAAAAGTATTTGTCACATCCCCCAAAGGTTTCGTGTTCATCCTTGTTCAGTTTCCACTCTTATCTACTGATTGGGACTTATCGCTAGAACTCCCATTTTTTCTTTTTTGCGTTGTACTACCAGATTGATTCTGAATCGCTCCAAGAAATTCTTTCCCTTTACTTCTTTTGTTTAACTCACCTGCTACGACAACCCCCATGTTACCTTCCTCAAAGTCCTTACTGGTTCCCTCGACAGCATTCGACTCACTCTGGAGAACTGTAAATCGTGATTTTTGTGAAGCTCATTCTGCTTTATTTGCTGAGCACCTCCTTCTTTTGTCTTGTCCGGGCGTTGTTTTCTCCCCGGAGCCATCATCCATGGGCCATACAAAAAATCATTGGAAGTTGTGATCGTTTCCTCTACTTTATCCCATTCTTCAGCCCCCATTGTTGGATTACTTCCAGTATTCGATTGCAAGTTATCCCTTCACATGTCCAGATAAATCACACTGAATACAAATGTTATGTTGCCCCTCGTACTCCAATCGTTGCACAAATCCATCAATCCCTATACACGACAAAAGCGATTTATTAAGATCAACAACAACCACTACTCTGGCAAATTTACCACGCTCACCGACTCTTGTATTATAATCAATCTTGACAACCTTCCCAATCTCCTCTGCTTAAAGCCAAAACAACGACTTGGTATAATATATATATGATAATCCTGGCAATCTAATCCATACTATTACTTGGGATGGATGACTATCCTCCATGGCAAAATTGAAACTCCAAGGTTGAACTGTTACATAACTGCCAAATATCACCCAAGGCCCTTCAGTAAGCACCTTCATGTAGTCGTGATCGATCTCAAATCACACCAAAAAATAATCATTATCCAAGTCAATCAATTGAAATATACTCGCTGGTTCTCACAGGATATTGACCTTGTTTCAAAGCACCCGGTATCCTATTGACCTTCCCAAGAGCCGCACAATGACCGTTCGTCACATGTTATAATCAATGGAATCATGTACTCTATTGAAAAATTGGATAATGGGATAAGCGCCACTTCGATCCACCACCACGTATCCCTCTTGAATAGATACGTCCTCATCGAGCAACTCAAGAAACGGAAGCCAAGACGAGAGATCTCTTCCCATTAATGTTGCCCATATGACTTGCCAGAACTACTAGGTTTGAACGGGACAAGATTCAATTACTCCTTTGAGCCCGTTCCCCCCACAATATCGCTATCTCTGATAGTAACATCCTTCACTTTGCCAGAAACAAACTCTCTTAATGAAACCCTATAATAGAATTTGTTGTAGCATTCTTTCCATCCGGTTGTAGATCACTCCCCATCGGAGAGTCCGACCGTTCTAGCGACTATGTTACCACCACTTCCATCACCGCCTCAGGCGGTGGTTGCATATTGCCACTCATGCACAAAACCCTAGTCGATCCGATGTTAACCCTAATATATTCCTTAATTATAATATAATACTTATCTTTTCTTCTCTTCTCCAAATATCGGGCAAAGGAAGTTGGAAAGCGGTCGGCAAATCTCTCCCCCTTAGCCAAACAAATCTCTCGATATTGAGAGTCGTTAAAAACACAATTGTTTTTTTTAATTTCTTTTTCTCTTTCTTCGTAAGAACATGGAACTAATTCAACCAAACAAATCTCTCTCCCCTTTAGCCACAAGAAAGTTTCATCTCCAAAGTTTTAATATTTGTAAAAGGTATATCTTTTAATTAATCTTTAATTCTCAAGCATGGAGGTGTCACTTGTTCGTTACCAATCCATTTCATTAGATCAAATACAAAATAGTTGTCGCTTTCCTTCTTCAATCCACAAGGTTTTTCAGAACAAAGCCTTTGTTTTCCTGTCATTGTTCTCGATTCAATGTGAGAAAATGGAGCAGTCCATTTAATAGACTTAAGTGTTTCTCTCGACTGTCGATAACATCCTTCAATTGGTTGCCGATATGTCGATTCGGACCGATAACAAAATGATGGACCGGGTGGAGACGGCTATTCAGATGGCTATGTCGAGGCTGGAAGACGAGTTTGGGCTTAGTTTTTATTAGGAACACCGTGCCGCTAGATGTGGAAAGGCTTTATGGTTCGATCCGGAGAGTTTCTCTTTCATTCGCGGTAAATGAAGGGGAACTTGGTGAGGAATTCGAGAGTTTCGGAGAAGTTGATAGCGAAAGATGGTGCTTTCACGATCGAGGACTGAGTTTAGGTGATGATTTATGTGTGGATTTGATAAACACTGATGCTATTATTTAATTGAAAGAGATTGTTGAGCGGATGATTAATTCTGGGTATGAAAAAGAGCGTGTTCAAGCTTATAGTAATGTTAGGCATGATGCTTTGGTTGAGTGTTTAGTGATTGTTGGAGTTGAGAAGTTAAGTGTCGAGGAAGTTCAGAAAATTAAATGGAAAGCTTTGGACGAAAAGATGAAGAAATGGATTCAGGCGGTTAAGATTACTGTTAGGGTTCTTTTGAATGGGGAAAAGAGGCTTTGTGATCAAATTTTTAGTGGGTCGAATTTGATTAAAGAGATTTGTTTTAACGAGACCACCAAAGGGTGTATAATGCAGTTATTGAATTTTGGGGAAGCTGTGGCTATTGGGAAAAGATTATCTGAGAAGCTGTTTAGGATCCTAGATATTTATGATGCGTTAGTATATGCATTGCTCGAATTTGATGTGATGTTCACGGACAACTATATGTGCATTGAGGCGAATGGAGTGTTGGTTGGATTAGGGGATGTGGCGAAAGGGACATTTTTTGAGTTTGAGAGTGCTTTGAAGAATGAGGCTTCAAAGAAACCTATGCAGAACGGGGAGATTCATCCGCTTACTCATTATGTGATGAATTATGTGAAACTTCTTGTGGATTATAGTGAGACTTTGAATTCATTATTGGAGAGTGATGAGGATGAAGCAGAGGGATTGCAGAGTGAAGATGGTGAGCTAGAGACAGTGACTCCATTTGCCAAACGGTTGTTGTTGTTAATATCCTCTTTGGAATCCAATCTTGAGGAGAAATCAAAACTGTACGAGGATGGTGCACTACATTATATCTTTTTAATGAATAATAATATGTATATAGTGCAAAAGGTGAAGGATTCAGAGCTAAGAAAGCTTTTGGGAGACAATTGGGTTCGTAAGCGGTGTGGCTCGATTTGCCAGTATGCTACAAGTTATCTGAGGGCTTGTTGGACCAAAGCTTTGTATTGTTTGAAATATGAAGGAATTGGTGGTAGCTCGAAAAATGCCTCCAAGGTAGTAGCCTTGAAGGAAATATTTAAGAGCTTCAATGCATGTTTCGAAGACATATATAGGATACAGACAGGTTGGAAGGTCCCAGATCCTCAACTTCGTGAAGAGCTTCGAATTTCTATTTCAGAGAAAGTAATTCCAGCTTATCGCTCTTTCATGAGGAGGTTCGGAAGTCAGCTAGATAGCGGAAGGCATGCTGGAAAGTACATCAATTATAAACCTGATGACTTAGAAAACTATCTATTGGATTTGTTTGAAGGAACCCCTCTTGTTCTTCACCATATGAGAAGAAATAGTACATAGGATCCTGGACTATTGATACAGGTATATGCCCTATCCACTCTTCAAGAACTAATCGGAGCGAGAGTATTACCGATATACGTTTCTGATGATTTTTTTTTAAATATTTTAAACACATAAATTGTATCTTGTACATGTTTATAGTTTATAGTTTTTATGTGTGGATTTTCTGGTGGTTCGTATAGCTTTATTTCATGAAACACCATTAGCATTGTGGTAATATTGTTACCTCTCCATTTTGCCATGTCTTATAGGCCAATATCGTTCACAATTTTTCGTAAGTGTCTAAACTTCTTTGTCCGCTGGAACACAGTTCTTTTTGTGTAATATCAGTATATGGACTTATAACAATGCTTTGTGTTTAGGATTGAAACCTATAAACATATTTTGATTCCCAATTGTGCTATGTCATGTTACTAATACCTTCTTGTAAGATTTTACATGATACTTTTGTATAATATGATGAGTATCTAGTTATGTCATCTTATAGGAATGGCTACATCTCTTGCACTTTTATTTCTTTATTTTTTTCTGAAGTTTTTATTCGAAAATTGTATCTTCGGTGAAAAAAAGGGGGCATAATGAATAGAGGTAAGAGGTTTGGACAATGTCAGGTTGGTTATAACCCATGCAGTATAGATGATAATGTTCTTCTGCAAGAAACATTTGTCAAATGTGATTGAAGAAGCAATCAAGCAGAGAAATTTTGTTTACATACTTCTGCTGTTAATTTTATGTGTAGGATAATTAGGAGATTCATTGTTTAAAGCACGAATCCGGTGTACCGGGTGAACATGAGATTAACCCGATGTAACATCTTGCAAACCATCCACTATATGATATGATGAAGGAAACTTCAAGAACTGATACGTTCTAAAGTAAATTAATGTCTAATATGTTGATGATTTTTCTATAATATGTCTAATAGTTTTCGAGTTAGTATTTTAGATGTTATCCCTGTTATATGTCCAAGTGTTATGAGTATTGGTGGAAAAGTCAGCAAGGGAGGCCACCGAAAGTGACAAGGGAGCACCAATTCAAAAAGGATGGGCACCGAATTCAGTGCCCAATTTTTATTGAAAATTCAAATGGGAGAATTACATTTTAGTTCTTGTACACTTTAGGATATTTACAAAATTAGTCCTTAAGCTTTAACTATAAATACCCTAACTCATTTAGCTTCAAAATCATCCCAAATCATTTCTTTCTCCCAATACTAGAGAGTTTTCTTGTGAGTAGTGAGTGTTTTGTAAACACCTGTAAATTTTCTCTCTTTAGTAAAAGATCTGCAGCAGTCCGAAGACGTAGGCATAATTGGCTGAACTCCGTTATCAATTTCAGGTATTATTTTTCCTCTTTTATTTTGCATTCTCATTAATTTGGTTATAGGGAAATTACTCAGTTATTTCCCAACAACTGGCATCAGAGCTTTTGGTAGTGAATTTTGTTCTTTTTGCGAGGTTACTATTCATTACTATTAATGTAATTAGTAAAAATTTTGTCGGCGATACGAATTTATCGACGGAGGTGTTCTAATACATGGTGGTTCGCGAAAATTGTCAGAAACGATCCACAGAAGCCAGATTCGAGTGGGAGCGATGGCTGCAGATGAAGGAAATGTGAAAATTGAGAAGTTCGATGGTGCGGACTTTGACTTTTGGAAGATGCAGATTGAAGATTTTCTGTACCAGAAAAATTTATATCAACCTCTCTCAAGAAAGCAACCAGAGGGCATGAAGAATGAAGACTGGGTTCTTCTCGACAGACAAGCCCTCGGAGTTATCCGACTGACATTATCCCACAATGTTGCTTTCAACATAGCAAAGGAAAAGACCACGACGTGTCTTAT